GCGGCTCCCGCCTGTTATTTCCTTACAATTTATTGAAGAATCGCACTCTCGCTTGGGACTTCCTTGCAATTTACTACCGGATCGCGGCTCCCGCTTCATATTTCCTTACAGTTTCTTGAAGAATCGCGCTCTCGCTTAGGACTTCCGCGCAACTTACCACCGAATCGCGGCTCCCGCCTGATACTTCCCCACAATTTCTTCCGATGCCGCTCTTCGACACTCAGGAACTGCGCTCCCGCTACATATTGCCTGGTGGTTCGAGCAGAATTTACGCTTCAACGACCCGCCCGCTCGACCCGCCCGTCTGGGCCTGCCCGCCCGACCAGCCCGTTAGGGACTGCAGTCGCCGCTCGCTGCCCTTCGCCCTCCTTCGATGCCCCTCGCTGCCCGTATTGGTTCCGTGGTCGCCTTCGCTCGCAACCCTTCGTGGCCCCGTTGCTGCCCTCAGTGGCACCGTCGCTGCCCATTGTGGACCCGCATTATATGCCCTTCGTGGCCCTACCTCGCAGTCGCCCGTCGTGGCCCCATACGCATGCCCTTCGTAGCCCCGCTGTCGCCCTTCGTGGCCCTCTCGCTGCCCTTCGTGGCCCTTTTGCTGCCTTTAGTGGCCCCGCTGTCGCCCTTTGTGGCCCCATATACGAAGGCCCTTCGTGGCCCCCGCTCGTTCGCGCCCGTCGTGGCCCCATATGCATGCCCTTCGTGGCCCCGCTGTCGTCCTTCGTGGCCCCCTCTCTGCCCTTCGTGGCCCCGTTTCTGCCCTCAGCGGCCCCGTCGTTGCCCTGTGTGGCCCCGGATTAATTGCCCTTCGTGGCCCCCGCTCGCTCGCGCCCTTCGTGGTCCCATGCGCATGCGTTTCGTCGCCCCGCTGTCGCCATTCGTGGCCCCCTCGCTGCTCTTCGTGGCCCACTTTCTGCGCTCAGTGGCCCGGCTGTCGCCTTTTCTGACCCCATATATGTACCATATATGTATGCCCTTCGTGGCCCCCGCTCGTTCGCGCCCGTTGTGGCCCCATATGCATGCCCTTCGTGGCCCCGCTGTCGCTCTTCGTGGCCCCCTCTTTGCCTTTCGTGGCCCCGTTTCTGCCCTCAGCGGCTCCGTGGCTGCCCTCTGCGGTCCCCTATACGTATGCCCTTCGTGGCCCCCGCTCGTTCGCGCCCGTCGTGGCCCGCGCCAACAACGGCTCCCGCCTGATACTTCCTTACATTGAAGAGTCGCTCTCTCGTGGTCGTCGTCGTCGTCGTCGTCGTCGTCGTCGTCGTCGTCGTCGTCGTCGTCGTCGTCGTCGTCGTCGTCGTCGTCGTCGTCGTCGTGGTGAGCCCGCTGTCTGTCCATCTTGGGTCGGGTTGCCGCGGGTCGGTGTGTGCATCGCCAGCGTTGCCAGTGGCCAGGCGGACGGTCCGCCGCTTGCTGGGGCCCGGTTTGCCGGCCTTTGAGACGCGCGTGCTCCACTGGCCCAGGTTCTTCTGCAGGCTTCGAATGAAGGCCTCCCTCGACGAGGCCCCCGGGGCGTCCCCACAGGTTTTCGGAGCCTGTGGAACTGCTCGGTGGTCATCGGGGCCATTCCGAGGCCCCCCAGACGTCTTGGGAGGCTTTCGGGTGTCTTCCGATCCCCCCACGCTTTGTTTTCGCACCAATCTCCGCTCGTATCCACCTGTCACCACTTCTCAACGTTCTTTCCCAGTCTTCTCTACTCTCGCAGGCCTAGAGGTTGACACCGACACCAATATCGGCGGTTTGCCTAGGGAAGAAAATCCCGATCTCGGTGATGGTGGTAATATTCTGGCTTCCAAGGTGGCCGAAATATTACCGCGAGCACCCAAATCTAGGATCATTTCCCTTTGTGGAGACACCCCCCTGTGTTGGTGTTGGCGCTCATTTTCAGGCCTCCCGTGCTCTTTGCCTTTACCTTCATTTTCATGTCGTTCGTGCTCCATTGTGCTATTCCTCAGTTCTTCGCATTCCGCCCACTCCTCCCCAGGCCACCCCACCCCGCCCCAGCAATCTCCACACCCTCCCGCTCGCATTCCGCATTTCTCCAAAGTTATTCCCAGCCCCTCCTCCAGAGTCCTCCGTGCGCCGCCCGCTTTTCCGCGCTCCTCCCGGTTCCTCTTCTCCACCCTTAGCCACTCCTCCTGAGACCCTACTCTTGTCCGCTCCATCCCGATCCACTCCACATCCCCGCGCTCCTCTCGACGCGGTTGCAGTTCTCATTGTCTCTCCGTCCTACTCCCCCAACGTCCCGGTTCTTTTCAGGGTTCCACGGTATTTGGTGCTGACGCCGTTTCGTAGCTGTGCGTCCCCCCGTGGGGGTATCCACGATATGTTCTTTCGAGAGGGGGGTGCGCGGCGCTGTTTATGGCGCTGCCCACGGCGAAACTTGTTGTCAACCTGTGTTGGAGTGGCTGGCGCAAGCCGTGGCGCAAGCTGAATCGCCACTCGCAGCGCGAATCATCGCCCCCCCTCCTTCTCGCCCTCCCCTCCCTTCCTCCGATCATTCTCCCCCCTTAGCCGTTACCCTTCGTTTTCAAGGGGTTTGCCGACCACGCGTGGCAGGGAATGAATATGCCCCCCCCCAAAGGGAGTACGATCGAAAACGAAGAGGGCGGGTATCCAGGGTTTGGGATATGCATATTGACTGACACGCGAGCAGATAAGAGCCAACCGTCCTAAACCGATTGTTGTTGTTGTTGTTGTTGTTGTTGTTGTTGTTGTTGTTGTTGTTGTTGTTGTTGTTGTTGTTGTTGTTGTTTGTTGTCGTCGTCCCACCCGCGACGTACCCGCGACCTACTCCGCGACCCACCCCGCGACCCACCCCGCGACCCTCCCCGTGACACACCCGCGACCAAACCCGCGACCCGCCCGCGACGCACCCGCGACCCACCCGCGACCCACCCCGCGACCCACCCGCGATCTACCCCGCGACCCATCCGCGACCCGCCCGCGACCCACCCGCGACCCACCCCGCGAACCACCTTCAAGGGAAGAAAAACAACCCTGACCCGACAATTAACGTTTACTAAACGGCCCTGGGCGTATAGTAAGCAGCAGTGCCCTATTCGATTCATTCCTTGTATGCGTTTACTAAACGGCTTCACTTGTCCAGGTGATTATTATGGGGTTGATCTTTTGTCCTCTACACCCGCGACCCACTGGCGACCCAACAATGACCCATTTGCGACCCACCCGCGACCCACCCGCGACCTACCCACGTTTGTTCAACGAAAAAATCGGCGCCTGCGGCGGGATCGTTGTGTAATTTTGAAAACTTTTGCGCTTGCGGCGGGCTCTTCCAGAGTCTCGTAAACTGTCGACGACCCCGCCGCCCCCTCATTCTTATCCGCATCTGATGAGTGCTCCGTATAAAATTATCGGTTCGTGGTCCCTTGCTTGGGCCTCTCTTGGGGCCGTCCTGAGGCTCTCTGGGGCCGTCTTGAGCGCTTCTTGTGCCATTTTGGAACCCTCATGGACCGTCTTGGTGCCCTCTTGGAGGCCCCTTGGGCTGTCTTGGGGCGGCCTTGGGAGCTTGTTGAGCCGTCTTGGAGCGTCGGGAACCCGAACATGCGAGAAGGCCACAACCCGTCAAAACCTCAGTGCAATCGACCATTTTGGTCTCTTGGGGCTCTTTCGGGAAGCCTCTTGGAACGCTCTTGGGCCCTGTTGCATCACTCATGGGCCGTCTTGGAACCATCTTCGGGCGCCTTGGAACACTCTTGGCCTCGGCAATTCGAATAGGGCGTCATTTGCGAGGGTGTATGGCTTGGGGGGCGTGAGCATCGTGTAATTTACGAGGGTTTGTTGCCTCGGGGACGCAACAAGTATGCACTTTTGCCAGTTATGGTCCCGGGGACGCGAATTTTGCGTACTTTAAAACGGATTCTGGCCTCGGGGTCGCGACCACTGTCTGATTTAGGAGGGCTTCTTGCCTCGGGGACGTACAAATTGTATTATTTACAAAAAGGTTTGTGGCCTCGGGGGCGGTTCACTGCTCTTTTGGGGCTCCCCCCCCGCGCGGACTTCAACAATGTACAGTGGGAGGCAGAGAGCAGGACTGTAACATTGGAGACTTGAAATTGCAACTGGCGCAGGGAACAATAGCCTAGTCCTACAGCCTTGTGGCCCCACAAGGGGGCCGGCGGATCTATTTCCATTCCCACTGGGCCATGCTATCTCTGCCTCGCCAGGCCACCCTCCTAGGCGGGGATCGGCCCCGCGAAACCCGAATGAACAGACACATATCCACATCCAGGTGGGTAAGTCGGCCAGTCGGGAGAAGGCCACGCCAGTGGGGATAGGGATCGGTTAAACGATGCTCAGAGTGATTCCATTGTTGGAAGTGCGTCGCCCAGTAGTTGCCCGTGGTTCTGGCGCGTGTTGTAGTGGCGGTGGCAATCATAATCGACGAGGACAGCGACACGCCTTGTACACGACCCCCCCCGCCCAACCTGCCCAACACCCACTCGTTCACCACACAGCAAACAATCCTTCCATTCGTTGGCATCCACCACCAGCCGCCGTCCACCACCCGACCACCCATCTGCCTGCCCACCCGCCCGCCACCCACCCAGCTCCAACCCACCACTCAACGCCTCCCGGCCCACCACTCACCTGCTATCCACCGCTCAGCATCGCTCACCGCCCACCCAACACCCAACAGCCACCACTTTCCATCATCAATCCACCGCCCACCCACCTGCCCACCCGCCCACCATTCAGCTTTAGCGTTGTCACCGCCTACTGAGTCCCACCACCACTTCGGATATGACTTGTCATACTTTCATGTAACCAGCGCTTCTGATGCCGCCATCTATCAGACCTCGCTTCTGCCACCGCTGCCGACCTTGAGCTAGGCAGCGGCGTTGGCGGCAGCGATCTCATTCCACCTATGCTGCTATCATGTGACCTGATGCCATTTTTGGTGATCATGCTGCACAAGATAACCTACGTATTTTGTCGAATGCGTAGCTGTTAGCGTTTCTGTTTCATGTGCGTCCCGTGCGCAGGAGTTGCGAGGCACCTCGGACAACGTCGGCTTTTACACTGGGCTGCTGAGCACGGCGCAGTCCTCCGGGATGCTGATCACTGCCTACATTTGGGCGTCCATCTCCAATCGCCGAGGCCGCCCGCAGCAGCAGGGACCCGACAGTGGTGGTGCTAAGGACGGGGAGGAGGAGAAGGAGGAGGATGAGGAGGAGGAGGAGGAGGAGGAGGAGGAGGGTGGGTCCTCGTATGGATCAACCCTTGCGGAGGAAATGCCCAGGTCGAACTGGAGAAGGGGGTGGAGGAGGAAGTGGCAGAGGACGATAAGGAGGCAACGGAGACGGAGGATTAAGTGGAGGAGTGGAAGTCCCTGGCGTAGACACCAGGGGAAGGTGCCATGAAAGCAAGGTTTCCCGAAACAGCGACTGCTGTAGGTTTCCCCACAAGCGACCGAGAGGAGGTGTCATTCGGTTTTGAGCAGTCAAGCTGCGTGGCCGATGGCCGCGTTGGCCCTCACAACTAGCCGCCCACCACTGACCCTCTCACCTCTTGCTAGCCGACTCCTCGTGTAGCGCTGTGTTCGATTTCACGTGTGGTGGGTGACAGCTTCTGCGAGGCCGCCCCCGACTACGAAATCGTAAGTCGTGCTCTTGCCGCGCGTGATGCCGCGTGCGAGTTCCCCAGGCCGCCAGGATGACCAGCGGGGGCCTGGCCGCCCTGCTCTGCCTCCTGCCAGGGCGGGGGTGGCGCGGCGGGCGGCTCCGACGGTGCCCCGCCCGACGTTCGGCGGTACCCCGACGGATGTTCGGACCATTTTCTGATGGTGTCCCGATGGTCTCCCGATGGTGCCCCGAACGGACTGGCGATGGCGTCCTCATTGATCTGAGGTTTTGTCCCCTGGTCTCCCCCGGTGTCTCGAGTGGTTCCCGATGGTGTGCCGACGGTGCCCCAATTCTTGGCGCTGTGCGCATCCCCACCGGCCCATCCAGAAACGATGCCCAGGCGAGTTGTCCTGATCAGGGAAGTGCAGGAGAAAGCAATGGACCAAAGAAGGGGGGGTCAGTCGTGAAAGCGAAGATTGAGATCAGCCTGAGCAGGCCCAGGAGTCAACCATGCACTCCTTCGCGGATCTTTCGATGGGGGATCCTGTTGGCAGCTCACCTGGGCCGTTTTTGGGCCCTCTTGGGGACCATTCTGCAGCCCTCTGGACCTCTCTTGCAGCCCTCTGGGGTCCGAAAACGCAAACAGAAAACCAGCGCTCGATGTTTTCCTTCTCCCCTCCCCCGCCCCTTCCCTTAGGCAGGCCTCCCCCCCTCCCTGCCCCTCCCCAAGCCCGGGCTCGATGTTTTCCCCGTGCTGTAGGGAGGGCAAGGCAGAGCTGCTTTCACTGATATCATCATGTTGCTGTTCCTACCCTTATCCCCCCTCCCCTCCTCTCGGGCAGTCCTCCTCCTCTCAGGTAGCCCTCTCATGGCCCTGACCCCGTGGTAACATGGGACTCCCTACGAAACCGCGGCTCGAGTGCGCGAACGGCACGCCAGAAGGCCTCCTACATTCGGCTGGGAGTGATGCTTCTGCGACGCTCGAGTGATGCCCAGCGCCCCTGTGCCACCGCCCAGCCCCGCGCAGGGCCAGTCTCCAGTCTCTGGTCTCCGCCTTCCCCCTCCCCCTGCGGCGGGCCTTCCCCTCCGCAGGCCTCCCTCCTTCCCCCTCCGGCAGGCCTCCCCCTCCGGCAGTCTCCAATCCCACCGAGCGCGTTCCACTGCTCCCGAAGTGGCCACTCGCAAACGTCCGAGAAACACCTGTCCGCATCGGGTGCAATCTGTAGCGTGAATCTCCCATGGCGGATCCGGACCGTTTGCGAGGTGGTTACTTGCCTCCCCCTCTCCGGCAGTCTCCAGTCTCCAGAGGAGGAGGAGGAGGAGGAGGAGGAGAGGAAGGAGGAGGAGGAGGAGGAGGAGGAGGAGGAGGAGGAGGAGGAGGAGGTGGAGGCGGAGGATGAGGAGGAAGAGGAGGAGGAGGAGGGTACAATTGGTGGAGAGTATGATGCGTCTAGCACACTTTTCTCTCCTGGACGCAGCTCGGCGACGATGTCGGGGAATGTGGTGAATGAAGTCCATCTGGGTCTAGGCCGACTTCTGTTTCTGAAGACGGTGTTCTGAGAAGATGTGCTGATTGCATCGCCAAGGTATACACACGATCGTCGTAGAGTCTCTGCCATAAGTCTCTACACCATACTGTGAAGCGTAATCTGGACGTATCGTCGGCAAGCGCGAGAATGCTCACTATGTATATTTTGGTACTGGCTGTCATGCCAGGAACACGTCGTCGGAGAGGAATGTATGGATAGCGTGCACGAGTGTGCCCACAGCGAGGGAGTCCGCGTCCACATCGTCGGCGTCGAAGCCCAGCCTGTGGGCGGTGATATGGAGGGCAGAAATGGCGGAGAGTATGAGGTGTCTAGCGCGTTTTTTTTTTGTTTTTTTTGTTTTCTCTCTCTCTCTCTCTCTCTCCTGGACGCAGCTCTGTGAGACGGTCCGAGTCTGGGGCGGTGAGCACCGTGTGGGGCCCTGACTCGCCCGAGCTTGAACATCAGTGGCAGCGGCAAACGACAGGAAATGCACGCACATGCTCTGGGGAAGGGGAAGAGGACGAAATATTCACCAATCAGAGCTTGCCTCTGTATGGGGTCCTAGCGGATTCATATGGTTAGATGAGGTTTGGCGCCGATTCCGGCGGCACGCCTGGGTGCCCGGGTGCCCAGGTGCCTGGGTGCCCAGTAGCCTGGTAGCCGGGTAGCCCTGTAGCCCTATAGCTTTATAGCCTTATAGCCTAATAGCCCTATAAGCCCTATAAGCCCTATAGCCCTACAGCCCTATAGCCCTATACCCCTAATACCCTTAATAGCCCTAACAGCCCTCTAGTCCTATAGCCCTATATCTCTATAGCCCTATAGCCCCATAGCCTAAAGCCTTATAGCCCTATAGCCCCATAGCCCTATAGCCCTAAAAATATGATGATTGGGTTTTGTGTCTGGTATCATTGTGAATAACTTCATCGACTCGAGAGGGGGAGGGGGAGGAGGAGGAGGAGGAGGAGGAGGAGGAGGAGGAGGAGGGAGGAGGAGGAGGAGGAGGAGGAGGCGGATGGATGATGATGAGGAGGAGGAGGAGGAGGAGGAGGAGGAGGAAGAGGAGGAGGAGAGGAGGAGGAGGAGGAGGAGGAGGAGGAGGAGGAGGAGCCTCCCCCTCCAGCCGGCCTCCCCCTGCCTGGCAGCCTGCCCTCCACCTTCCCCAGCCCGCGCGCGCGGGGCGCGGTCCGCCCAGGTCGGCGGATCTGCCTGCTCGTGGGGCTCCTTGCGGGGCTGTGCACCACCACCGTTCAGGCGAGCCCCTCCGGCAGGGAGGGGTGGAGGGGGGCCTTTTGCAGTTGGGCGGGCTCCAAGTGCCAGGCCTGTAGCGTTCTGGAGGAGGATCTCCTCCTCTTCCTCCTCTTTCTCCTCCTTCTGCTCCTCCTCCTCCTCCTCCTCCTCCTCCTCACTCCTTCCTCCCTCCCCCCTCATGCTGGTCCCCGGTTAACAACAACAAACACGCCACCACCACCACCAACAATAACAACAACAACAACAACAACAGCCACCACCACCACCACCACCACCAATGCAGCAGCAGCAGCAGCAGTAACAACAACAATACCAACAACAGCAGCAACAACACCAACAACAACAGCAGCGGCTCCCGCGTGATACTTCCTCACAGTTATTTCTAATTCGCGCTCTCGCGCGGGACTTCCTCATCATTTATCGAGGAATCTCGCTCTCGCGTGGTGCTTTCTAACAATTTATTGCGGCGTCGTGCTCCCAAGACTCCCAAGTCACGCTCTCGCTTTAGATTTCCCAGCGACTTATTTGGAAATCGCGTTATCGCTCGTAACTTCCTTCATGATGTGTTGACGCTTTAGCGACCCGCCCGCTCGACCTCTCCGTCTGGGCCCGCCCGCCCGACCTGCCCATGAGGGTCCGCCCGCTCGACATGCCAGGCTGGTTCTGCCACTTGTGCTGCTGCTCCTAACCCTCCTCCTGCAAATTTCTCTCGTGCTTCATCCTTCTCCCTCCCCCTTGTCTCTCCACTCCTCCCCTCCTTCCCCTGTTTTAGGGACTGCGCCAACCACACGCGGCAGATAGGAAAGATATACCCCCTAAGAGGGGGTACGATCGAAGACAAAGAGGGCGGGTATGGAGGGTTTGAGATATACATGTTGTAAGGCACGCGAGCAGAAAAGAGCGAGCAGTCTGACACATTTTGTTGTTGTGGTGGTGGAGGTTGTCTGTTGTTTGATGTTGTTGTTGGTGCTGGTGGCGGTGATGTCGTCGGTGTTGTTAATTACCGTCGTTGTTGTTGTATCCGTTTTGGTTGTTGTTTTTTTATTATTGGTGCTGTTGTTGCTGTTGTTACTGTGGTTGTTATTGCTGTTGTTGTTATTGTTGTTGTTGTTGCTGCTATTGTTGTTGTTTTTGTAGTAGTAGTAGTAGTAGTAGTTGTTGTTGTTGTGGTTGTTGATGTTATTGTTATTGTTAGTGTTGTTGCTACTGTTATCATTATTAATATTAGTATTGTTGTTGTTGTTGTTGTTGTTGTTATTGTTGTTGTTGTCGTCGTCGTCGTCGTCGTTTCTGTTGTGATTGTTGTTGTCATTGATTATTATTGTGGTTGTTGTTGTCGTTGGTTATCATGGTTGTTGTTGCTGTTGCTGCTGTCGTCGTCGTTGTTGTAGTTGCTGCTGCTGCTAATATAGTAGTAGTAGTAGTAGTAGCAGCAGTAGTAGTAGTAGTAGTAGTAGTAGTAGTAGTAGCAGTAGTAGTAGTAGTAGTAGTAGTAGCAGTAGTAGTAGTAGTAGTAGTAGTAGTAGTAGTAGGAGTAGTAATAGTAATCGTAGGAGTAGTAGTAGTAGTAGTAGTAGTAGTAGTAGTAGTAGTAGTAGTAGTAGTAGTAGTAATCGTAGTAGTAGTAGTAGTAGTAGTAGTAGTAGTAGTAGTAGTAGTAGTAGTAGTAGTAGTAGTAGTAGTAGTAGTAGTAGTAGTAGTAGTAGTAGTAGTAGTAGTAGTAGTAGTAGTAGTAAGTAGTAGTAGTAGTAGTAGTAGTAGTGTAGTAGTAGTAGTAGTAGTAGTAGTAGTAGTAGTAGTAGTAGTAGTAGTAGTAGTAGTAGTAGTAGTAGCAGCAGCAGTAGCAGTAGCAGCAGCAGCAGCAGCAGCAGCAGCAGCAGCAGCAGTAGTAGTAGTAGTAGTAGTAGTAGTACTTGTAGTCATAGTAGTTGTTGTTAATGCTGTGGTTCGTGTTGTCCTTGTTATTCTTGTTGTTGCTGTTGCTGTTGCTGTTACTGCTGCTGTTGCTGTTGCTGTTGTGGATGTTGTTGATGCTGTTGATGTTGTTGTTGTCGTCGTTATTGTTGTTATAGTTGTTGTTGTTGCTGTGGTTGTTGTTGTTGTGGTTGTTGTTATTGTTGTTGCTGTTGTTGTTGTGGTTGTTGTTGTTGTTGTTTGCTTTTGCTTTTGTTGTTTGTTTGTTCGTTTGTTTGTTTCTGTTGTTTCCGCTCTGATGCCTGTTTACCCCTTCCTTGCTGCCTCGCGCCCCCTTTACTTTGAATCTCTGCTCACGCGATTGGCCCAAGTCGTAGTCTGACTGACCGTATTGTCGCGCATGCCTACCTGTTTCCGCCAGGCTCAGCTGGCGAGGGAGACAAACCGTGGCAATGTGGCTGATGCAGTGCTCGCGGGCGGAAAGTCATCATCATCAGCATTATCGTTATCGTCATCTTCATCTCCACTGGACTTTCCAGCAGCATCACCATCCTCACCATAATCATCGTCATCATTTACCCTCTCTGCGATTTTTTTGTTCTCTCTCTCTCTCTCTCCCTCTTGATCCTTTCCTTGTCCCTCGCGCTTTCCGCCTCGTCGTCGACGTCTTCCTCCTGCTCCCCCCGTCCAGCCTGGATGCAGGCCTTCTGCAAGAGCTACTGGGTGGTTGCCGGCGCGCGCTTCTCTGCAGGCCTTCTGAACAGGCCCCACTTTGCGCAGCGAGCTACCTCCGGATCCGCTCTTGTGATGCATGTCGCACTGTGCAGGGCGAGGAGGTGGAGGAGGAGGAGGAGGAGGTCATAGGAGCCCAGGGAGGAGATGCACTCGGTTCTTCTTGCACTGCGCCGGTTTTTCGCCATCATTTGTGAAGAGAAGACCGTGCAGCTGGTGCCGCCGATTTTGCTGGGGGACGACGACGACGATGACGACGACAACGGAAAATATTCAAGAGCGTAAGTACTCTTGAGGCTCTCTTGGGCCTCTTGGGGTCAGTGCTTTGATTTCAAAAGTATGCTCTGGAGGCGACGACGACGTAAGGCATTCAAGAACGTAAGTAACATCATTTACTTTAACATCCTGGGTGTGTCTGAGGAGGCTCTTTGGGGCCTGTTGGGGTCAAGTCTTTGATTTCAGAAGTATGCTCTAGGGGCGCATCACCTCGTTAGCAGATTTCTTCGTTTTTTGTTTTTTGTTTTTTCTTCCCCTGGCGATAGCGTGCGTGACCGGGGGGGGAGCAGGGGGGAGGGGTCCGGGCACCTTTCGATTCGCGCCGGCGCCGCCTGGGGTCGCGCAGGAGTGGCCATCCCCGACACACCGCGCTGGCGCGAATCGTGACGCGACCAGAGGGCGGGGCAGGGGGGGCGGGGCTGGTCACGGGCGTCATCGCGAATCACAGAACAACGGGCGTCTTTCCCCACTCCAGTTCCCCCTCCTCCGCCTTCTCCCCCCCATCTCTCCTATTCTCCTCCTTTCGTGTAGCCTTTACACCTCTCCTCGGGCCCCCTGGGCTCGCCCCTCCTCGGGCGCTTGTCCTTGTCTGGCAGTGGCCAGCGCAGTGCACTTCACCGTGCCCGTCTGTCCTGCACACGCCTGGGGCCCCCCCCGCCGATTCCCAGAGCGTTCTCTTTTCGGCCTCCTGCGCCTTCTCTGCCTCCTGGTTGCTTCTCTGCCCGTGCGGCCTGCTCTCCCCCTGCGCCTCCTTCCCCTCCTCCGCGTGAGCCCCTCCCCCTGCCCCATCTCCTCCCCCACCTCCCCCTTCCCCCTTCCCTCTCTCCTCCATCTCCTCCCCCGTCTCCCCCTTTCCCTCCCTTCTCCCATCTCCTCCCCCATCTCCTCCCCCATCTCCTCCCCCATCTCCTCCCCCTTCCCCCCCCTCCTCTCCCCCTTCGCCTGCCATTCCTGCTCCCCGCTCCGTCCCTTGATCTTCTTGCTGCTCCTTCCCCTCCACCTCCCCCCCTCCTGCTGCTCCTCACGGGCCCAGTTTCCTGCTGTCACCACCCTCGAGATCATGGTGAAAATTAACTCGTGGGCCTGGCATATCCGGGACCTCCGCTCTCGTACCTCCACGCCCTCAGATCTCGTTCTTGGGGGCCTCGTCTGAGGAGCCTCCGCTTACTTTCCGCCTCATCCTGCAAATTCGGTTTCGAACAAGATTTTTATGTCTGCTAGCGGCAAGGTGTGCAGGTGGGACCAGTACGGCTGGTCGTCTCGATTCAACCTTGATCCCTTGCAGGTGAACTCAAATTCATCTTTGGCAGAAACAGACTTCCCAGCTGAGCTTTCCAGTTCACTGAAGAAGCGCATCGGGGGTCGCCATCATCATCATCATCATCATCATCATCATCATCATCATCATCATCATCATCGCAATCGCCATCACCATTACCATCACCATCACCACCATCACCACCACCATCACCATCACCATTATCATAATATTTATCGTCACCATCACCATCATCATCATCGTCGTCGTCACCATCATCATTATTTTCATCATCGTCGTCGTTATTATCAGTGTCACCGTCACCGTCATCATCGTCATAAACATCATCACGATCATCATCTTCATCAGCATCATCACCATCAGCATCACCATCACTGTCATCATCATTAACAACACCATCACCATCACCATCACAACCATCCTCCTCATTATCATCATCACCATCACCATCATCATCATCATCATCTTTATCATCATCATCATCATCATCATCACAAATAACATCATCATCACCATCAACACGATTACCACCATCATCATAACCATCATCGCCATGAGCATCACCATCAACAGCATCACCAGCAACTTCACCATCACCGTCACCATCATCGGCACCATAACAATCATCATCATCATCACCATCATCATTATCACCATCAGAGTCACCATCACCGTCATCATCATGAACACCATCATCATCGTCATAATCACCATCATAACCATCATCACCACCATGATGATAATGATGATGATGACCGTCATCATCATCAGCATCATCATAAGCATCATCATGCGATCATCACCATCGTCATCTTCATCATAGTCGTCATCGACATCATCATCCTCAGCATCATCATCATCACCATCATCATTATCAGCATCATCATCAGCATCGTCATCATCATCACCGCCATCATTATCACCATCATCACCATCACCATCATCACCGTTGTCATCATCATCATCATCATCAGCATCATCAGCATCATCATCATCATCATCATCATCAGCATCAACATCATTGTCATCATCATCATCATCATCATCATCATCATCATCATCATCATCATCATCATCATCATCATCATCATCATCCGCCACGGTGGACGCAAGCGCCCATGGTGGTTGACACTGTGAGGTTGGGGAACTCAGTGGGCCAAACGAGGGGGAGCCCGGGGGATGACCAGGAGCAGGTAGAGGAGGGAAGGGAGGCTGTGGCTGGGTGGTGTGCGCGTTGGGAAGCATTCCCGTTGTGCGTTCCTTCATGCCCCTGCGGGCTTCTCTGTTTTTCCGCCTTTCTTTGCTATTCTCGATTCTGTTTGCACGCAGTGTTGGTATCATCATCATCATCATCATCATCATCATCATCATCATCATCATCATCATCATCATCATCATCATCATCATCATCATCATCATCATCATCATCATCATCATCATCATCTTCATCTTCATCTTCATCTTCATCATCATCTTCATCTTCATCATCATCATCATCATCATGATCATCCTCGTCATCGTCATCGTCATCATCATCATCAGCATCAGCATCAGCATCAGCATCAGCATCAGCATCAGCATCAGCATCAGCATCAGCATCAGCATCATCATCATCATCATCATCATCATCATTATCATCATCATCATGTGTTCATGCGTGCGATTCTTTTTTTACGAGTGCGAGCGATCAGGCGCGGCGATCGCTTCGGTCAACGTCGGCGTAACGTAAAGAACTAGGCAAAGACGGGGGAGGGAGGGGGAGGGGCAGCAGGAGGAGGAGGACCAGTGCAAACCCAAGACGCGTCAACGATGTTGCAATAAACCCTCCCTCCAATATTCTTTTTCATAGACACCCACAAGAATTTGTTGTCATTTCGGGAGATGCCTTCATGGACGACAATCGTTTGAGAGTTTCGATCGTGCCCAAACACAATTCCTGGGACGTCGGCGCCGCGAATCGGCGTGACTGTTTTGTCCTGCGGTCCTGGAACGTGTCAGAACCCCATTCCTGGGACTTCAGCACGGCCAATCGGCGTGACTGTTGCGTCATGGCAGTCCTCAGCCGTGCCAGATCACCGTTCCTGAGGCTTCAACGCGAAGAATCAGCGTGGTTGCCGCGTTCTGACAGTCCTGAGTCGTGCCAGAACTCCATTGTTGGGATTTCAAAGCAGCGAATCAGCGTGATTGTTTCTTCATGATAATCCTACATCGGGCCAGAACACCAGTCGTGGGACTTCGACCAAACAAATTCTTCAACCGGCTGCACACCTTTACGACGAACGTGCACGGCGCCCAGGCGAGAGCCACATTGAAGAAGGCACGCCCGCTCCCGTGAATTTGTTGCGAATTTTTAATCATATGTGCGCGGCGCTAAGACGATGGCCACATTTTGAAAACGGCTCGCCCTCCATTCGTCAAGCGGTTGCGAACTTCTAGAACACATGTGCGCGGCCCCAAGGCGAGAACCGCATTTTGAACACGGACCGCTTTTCACCAGTGTAACCGTTGCAAACTTCTACAACATAGGTTCGCGGTGCCAGGGCGAGAGCCACATTTTGAAAACGGCCCGTCCTCCATCCTTGAGTCCAAGCTTCAGGATCATACGTGGTGGGGAGGGCCGAGGCGAAAACGCCCGGCCCGCCCTACCGACACGTCTTGGGGTGCCACAGGGAGGAGCTGGTTATGAGGACAAGAGGTGGATCGGCCACGCGCAGAGGGGGGTGGGGGGAGGGGGGAGGGCTTCTTAGAAGCACCCCTGCTCCTTCGAAGCGGCGGGCCTTGTCTGTAGATGTAAGGCCGGCGCCTTCTAAGAAGCAGCCTCCTTCTAAGAAGCCCTCCCCCCTCCCTCCACCCCCTTGTGCGCGCCGCCAAATGTTCTGTAGAAGGAGCAGGAGCAGGAGCAGGAGGAGGAGGAGGAGGAGGAGGAGGAGTTGGCGGAGAAGGGGATGGAGCGAGAGGACGAGGGGGGAGGAGCCGCCCAGGCTGAGGAGGAGGAGGAGGGAGGACGAGGAGGATGGACGCGGGGCAGAGACGAGGCTGAGGGGGAGAGACCCCCGCCTCGGCGCGCGGGCCGTGCGCGGGAGCCTAGCGCGCGGGAGGTGCGGATGCGCGCGGCGCGCGTGCCGCCGGGCACAGGAAGACCGCCCACGGGCCCGGCGGCACCTCAAAGGCGAAACTGCGTCACACAGTCTGCAGGCCTAGTTGCTGCCGCATGCTCGGGGGACGTGTTCGGCCAGTCCCTCGCCCTGCTGAGTGATCTCTGATCTCGTCCTCCTTCCGCTCTGCGCCGATGCTCTATGCAAAGAGATGACGAACGAGCAACGCACGCCCATATCCATAGAGGGATCGGAGGGAGGAGGACTGGCTATGGCTATGGGTATGGGTGCGGGCTGTCGGACCGCGGGGGAGGCTCCCGTTCGAGCGGGGACCCCCATACGACAATACGCACCCATAGCCCCCTCTGTCCCCCCTAATTATGGGTATGGGTGTGTGTGTGTGTGTGTTCGTTCGTCAGGGCCCGCCCCTCGTCCTCCTGGAGACCGCACCCCGCGCCCAGCAACCTGTCCATCATGCGCACCGCCCTGCGGGAGACCTTCCAGCACGAGAGGAGCGAGGACTGGACATCCTCGGCAGCAGAGACCGGTAGAGAGAGAGAGAGAGGGAGGGGGGACGAGCAACGAGGTGCCGCCCGAACAGAGGCCCCTCCTCCACACCCCCTGTTGCCTCCGCGCACGCCGTGACACATGACGACGGCTGGCAGCTCTGGGATCTCTTCCCGGACCCCTGTGGCCTCTCCTCATGAGCCCAGGCCGGGGACCAGGGGCTCGAGCTCAATGGTGTTTTGGCGATCTCCTGGGCCGTTTTCGTTTTGCTGTCGTTTCGCAGCGAGGGCAGGGGGCAGGCAGCACGAAGGAGAGCGAGCACAAGACGAAAGCGCCGAACACGGCTTGGCTCGAGCCCAGGCCTGGGACCGTCAGCGTCGGAGGGGCCTGGGCCCTTCCCGCCGCGCCCGCTGCTGCTGCCGCTGCTCCTCTCTCGCCTCCCGTCGCCCCCTCCCGCTCCCGCTGCTCCCGCTCCCGCTCGTACCTCGCCCCGCTGCTCCCGCTCCCGCTCACGCTCTTGCCGCGGCTGGTGCTGCTTCTCCTCCTCCGCCTCCTCGGCTTCCTCGCCTTCTCCGCCTCCTCCTGCTCTCACCACCCGCGACCGCCGCAACTTACCCGTCATCGCACCACCACAAATTCCACCTCCCACCATCCACAGCCACCCACCAGCCTCCTTCCACCCACCACTGCTTTGGCGCCTCCCTCTCCCTCCTGCTCCTCTTCTGCCTTGTCCGCCTCCTCCTCACCTCTGGGTCCCCTCGCTAACTACACATTTGCCACCACCGCTCGCGCCCCCACGAGCCATCCCCCCTCCTGCTCGCCAGGCCTGGAGGAGCAGGACGAGGAGATTCCCTGTGGAGGAGGAGGAGGAGGAGGAGGAGGAGGAGGAGGAGGAGGAGGAGGAGGACGAGGTGGAGGAGGAGGAGGAGGCGGAGAGAAAGGGCAATGTGTGTTTCAGTCGGGCTGTGACACCGTGCATGAGGCCCAGCTCCTTTTGGCCCTCGGCTGTCCCAGTGCCTTCGCGCGAGGACACGGGACGAGGAGGATTGGAAAAGGAAGGGACGTCTAAGATGATGCGTAATGCTTCTGATGCTACTGCTGATGCGTCTGAGGAGGAAGGGACGTCTGAGATGATGCGTAATGCTTCTGAGGAGGAAGGGACGCCTGAGATGATGCGTAGTGCTGCTGATGCTACTGCTGATGCTGCTGCTATTGCTGCTGCTGGTGATGATGTTGCTGCTGCTGGTGATTCATGTTTAAGATGATGATGACGACGATGAGGATGAGGATGACGATGACGATGACGATGATGATGATGATGATGATGAAGTTGATGATGAAACATATGATTACGAAGATGATGATGATGATGCTGATGATGATGATGCTGATGATGATGAGCATGCTGCTGATGATGATGATGATGATGATGATGATGATCATGATGACGATGACGATGACGATGATGATGATGATGATGATGATGATGATGATGATGATGATGATGCTGATGCTGATGCTGATGCTGATGCTGATGCTGATGATTATGATGATGACGATTCACAGGTGTCCAACCCTTGGTTACGAAAATGGGGGCGTGCACGAAATTCTTTCCAAACGAAAGGGGGGTTGCTCTGACAGCGTAGGTGGCGCTGCCGCGCGCTGAGGGGTCCGCTGGCCGCGCGTTGCTTTCCATTGATCCCATGGTAGTTGGCCGTCGTGCTTTGTCACGTCTGCGCATCGCGTGACATGTCTGTTGTAGTCCCTGGCGGTGAACAGCTTAACTGCCGTGCAAATTCAATGTGAGTGCTCCCCGAACACGGCTTCATTCCTGCACGAGCACGAAATTGCGGTCGTGCGAACAAGGAATTATTTTCGCACGAACACGTAATTACTTCCGCACGAACGCGAAATAAGCCACGACACGCCCACGAACCGCCGCACGAAATTACTTCTGCCCTGTGCGAGTTCCAACACGGGATGCGCCACGAAATGCCGCGCGAAATCGTCCGCACGAAACTGTTGTGCGAATGTCTCAGGCGGTTTCTTGTTTTTTGGGGGCGCTCGCAGGCGCGGCCGGGCGCTCGCAATTGAGTCAGGGGGATCAATTTTGGGGCCTTGACGTCCGGCCATTCTGGGCGGCAGATCTGAGGCCAACTCGCGCGGGCAATTTCGTGCGGGCAATTTCGCGCCCCTTCGTCGTTCTGCTGGCCGCTCATGCTTGTCGACTGCCGCTGGCAAGCCGATTTGTGTTTGCCGCGGCGACGACGCTGGTAGGGCACAGCGTTGCTAACGTTGATGGTCGCAGTGACGACGTTTCGTGTGCATGTGACAATGATGACAAGGGGGTGTGGTCCAACGCCCGCACCGTTGGGCGGATTGCCAGGAGTGTCTGTCCCGCCGTGCCGCATATGACTAATCACACGAAGTTGCCCAGGGCGCCCAGGCAATTTCGTGGCCCATCCCGTGCCCTTGTGTCTCCAAGGGACCAGCCTCTGTGAAACGATGACTG